AAGGTAAAACCTCCTCTGAGTTGTGATGGCAGCTCTTCACATACTTGCTCAGGTGGCTTTTCTACAGCTGCAGGTAATCCTCTGCACAAGTAAAGTCATGGTCTGACCTTTTTGGAGGAGGAATGTTCTGAGCTATAGCTGAGAATTGCCACATAGGTAGTAAAAATCCGCCTTGCGAATGTAGTTGAAACATGGTGTGTGTGGTGAAATCCCTGGGAGGTCTCTAGAGTGTTGTGATGGTCTTTGTTGCAGCTGAAGGAATCTGAACTGAAGAGTACTGCTATGCAGGAAACAGTGCTGGCACTGGAAACAGAGCTTGGAGATGTCCGGGCTGCTTTCAGGGAGCAAGAGATGCAGCTAGAAACCCAAAAACACAAGGAAATGGAGCTTCTTTCCACTGTGCACAGGTAAAAATCTGGAGGATTAGAATAAGCTTCATCTTGGCACTGAAATAATCGCTGCACCAGGACAGTGATGATTCAGCACAGCCGCTGTCCCACCTGTCAGAACCAGGTTACCATGGATTTGTGATGATTATGCGAGCGCTCGCCAAAACACCGTGTACAAATTCTGCGTGCCAATAGTGGAGGGTGGGAGCAGAACCAGATGGCTGAAAGAAAGGGGGCCCTTGTTTTGTCACATGGGTTTGTCTGTGTCCTCAGGTTATTGCTCTCAACTGTAACTCCTTGCAAAATGGACCTACATAATCTGCAATCGTTGCGTCTCTGCAGATGTGGCAATATCGTGGGCAGGGCTGTGTCCAGGGAGAGGGACTCCTTCCTTCACCGCCCTTGCAGTTTGCAAGCTGGGATGCAAACAGGGCAACACTGACACCTGATATGAAAATCATTCACTGCCTTATATTGTTTAGTGAGGGAAACACCCCAAATAAAGCTGGTTTTCCCATGGTGTTCTGCTAATTTCAGCTTGCAGGACAAGATGCAGCAGTGTGTAAAGAATGCAGAGCGAGGACCCCCTGCCCAGGATGGGGAGAGGCAGAAAATAGAAAATGACTCTCTGAAGAAAGAATGCGACTGCCTCAGGAAGGTAACAGGCTGTCCCAACTGGGAACCACATGTTTTTCCTTCCACTGGGTCACACCAGGCACTAAAATGAAATCAAGGACTTCTGCAGTCATAGGCAGTCACAATTGCACTGAAGCAGCAGTTCCTGGAATGCCAGACTGAGGGGTTTTAAAAGCTGTTCTTGGTGTGATACCCAGGCACTGCTACAGTAACACTGGAGAGAAGTTGCAGAATGCAGAAGAGGGGAAAGGAAAACCAGAAGAATGCAACTTCTCCAGTCTGTTTTTAGCTGATACTTCTAATGGTGCCTTTTATCAAGTGCCTTTCATCAGGGAATCCAAGTCCATTACTAACAGAGGCAGTGATTAAAGTAGTAAGTGGACAGGAAAGAGAAGGAGAGGGGATGCTGTCCTCCTGAAGGAGAAATCCTGGTGGTATTACTGAGTCTGTGCGGCCAGTTCTGATGCCTCTGCTTTTGATTCCAGATTGTGGACAAACAGCAGAAGAAGATGGAGCAGTTGTCCTTGCAAGTAAAGGTGAGAGGTGACTGCGGAGGGACCTAGAACTTGAGAATCTGCTATGAAGTGAGTTAGACTTACTACTTTCCCGTGGTCTGTTCCAGAACCTGGAAGAACAGGTGGCCCAGGAAGAGGGGACAAGCCAAGCTCTGAAAGAGGAGGCAATGAGAAGAGAAAATGCGCTGCAGCAGCTCCGGACCGCTGTGAAAGAGGTCAGAGCGGGAGTGTTTAGAGTGCCTGAGCATAGCAGTTGAATGAACAATGGATTGTCTTTTAGCAAGGCCCTTAATTTGCAGTCAGCAGCACAACCTCTTCAGCTTCCTGCTAGTCAGTTGCCCTGTCAGTGCTCTGAAAGGAGCTCTTCTCTGTTCCAAAGCAGGAGAAAGGCAAGTTTCTGCCTCGGGAACTTCAGCTGGGGCTGCAGGTTGTGGTGGAGGACGCTGAGCTTGCCAGCTGGGGGCAGCAAGGTGGCAAGCAGGAGTCCAAACTCGACTTCAGCCCTGGCTGAAGGGCAGGGCTCAGCCCCACTCTGAAGCCTAAAGGAAGCCAAGCACAATGGCAGCCCTTGAGGGAAGGGATGGCCAGTGTTGGGGTGAGCGGCTGGTGCGCAACCTCCTGGAAGCTTGTTGTGTCGTGCCTCGGCAGGGACAGTGCGGTGTCATGGGGCGCTGCCTGTCTGAGCCAGGAAAGCCGAACGCTCACACCCTGTAGGACTGACGCTCATCTGGCGAGAGTCTGGAGGGCTTGATGTAAACCAGCTCCTCCTGCTCTCGGTGCTCCCATCATCGTCGAGCAGTTGTGTTAAGCTGCTCTAAGCGTGCTAGTTCTGTGCCAAGTGACCACTAACCCGCTGTGTCCGTTTGTTCAGCTTTCAGTCCAGAACCAGGATCTCATTGAGAAGAACCTGACCCTTCAGGAACGACTCCGGCAGGCAGAGCTAACAACCCAGCCGCTGCCTGCTGAGACAGCCCGCCTCGCCCAGGAGTTGCACGGCGAGCTGGCCAGTTGTCTGCGGGACTTGCAGTCTGTCTACAGCATTGTCACTCAGAGGGCTCAGGGCAAGGATCCCAACCTCTCTCTGCTCCTAGGCATTCACTGTAAGTACGCGGAGTGATGGCAGAGCAAACCCTTCAGTTCCTGTGCTGTGGCAGAATTAAAGAACTCGCATGTAATATAGCATGGAAGGTTCTTATCTTCCTGGGGTTCCGAACCTTCTTTCTGTGGTTAGCTGCCTTTAAAGGTGTGTGCTGTAATAACTGAATGTTTAGTACCTCTTTTGCAAGTGTGTGTTGGTTTTTCTGGCTCACTTGCAAATGTGTGTGATCCTTGGTCAGAATTGCATGTGAGGTAACTCCCTTCTCTGACTCCACAGCTGTGCAGTACTCTGCTAAGGAGAAGGACGACTTGCTGAGCCCTGATGGCCTTGCGAAGAAACTGGTGGAGGTAAAACAGCTTCACAAAGAGGTGGAGGACTTAAGGACGGCAATATCTGACAGATATGCTCAGGACATGGGAGACAACTGCATCACCCAGTAAAGAACACTCCCCAAAGTAAGGCAGGAAATGAAGACTTGAAACCCTCAGGAGTCTAGAGCTCCTACAACCCAAAACCTATTCAGCACTTTACCATCCCTTCGCTCGGGTACAAGATGGGTGACTTATCCAATCCGTGAGAAATCAGGGGGTTTGTTGCCAGAAGTGTTTAGCTGCTGACTGGCTAACTGGAATCGTTCAGGGCTTCGGTGTCGGGCTTTGCAGTAGCTTTGATCTTGTGGAATGCGTTTATGTTGTGTTTGCCAGAGCTGGTGTAGTCTCTGACGCTGGGAGATGAGTTCTGAATTGCCTTCCAGGCATGTCAAATGCTGAACATGCAAATGTGACAGTTAAAATCATCGCTAAAAGGAAATGTATGCCCTGGTCTTTCTGATAAATTCTCTGAGCAGGTCCTGTGTGACTAATAAGACCAGAGGATTATCAGAGTGTTCAGGGGATATCTGTGGACTTCGCAGGCAAGCAGGTGTGCCAGTTATACCGCTGCTGATCACATCAAGGTGCTACAGGCTCCTCAGATGCTGTGTGCACAGTTCTGGCTTGGATGCTTGTGTAGCCATTCATGGAGCAGGACCTGCTTTCCTCAGGTAAACGCAACCGGAGTCTTTCAGTAGCCAACAGGAGTTGGGGAATAAAGCAACACTAAAAGACGACTCTGAAAAAGCTCCCCCTGGGCACTGTTACCCCAGAAGCCTTAAGCCTTTTATCCCCCCGAAAACGCACTCTGAGTGTGGGTATGATTCAGACTGCAGAGGAAGTGGATTGATGCTGAAGTGCCTTAATGTGCTAGAGAAACCTCCTGTCCCCACGCTGCTTCGTGCCTAATGCATCTGCTGGCAGGGTGAGGAACGGCCGTTTCTTGTAGCAGCCTTTAGAGCCATCGCAAACAATCCTGGGGAGCCTCGAATGTCCGTAGCCAGAGCTGCAGAGAGCCTCTGTGCCCTCGGGGGACCCCGCTGCAGGCCAGCGGGGAGACACACCTCTGGCTTGGCTCTCTGCTTGCTGCTTGATAAGGGAGAAAGCCATTCTGGTCCTATCGTGGCAGGACAGTACAGCTGGATCCGAGAGCTCTTCCTGATGCCTGCGAGGCAGTGACCACTCGGGCTTTGTTGTAGCCCTGCCCCTCGTTCTGCGGGAGCTCCCTGCTCCTCTGCTAAATAATGAGATTTCTGAATAAATCAGCATGGGATGTGGTTCACTTTGTCACAACCCTCCTTAACTTTACTGGCAGCTTGACAGCATTGAGTGCTTGCTTGTGACAATGCTGTGGTGCTGAGGGTGAAACTACTTTGGTTTTCAGCTTGAGTTAAGAGCAAGATAAGAAGTTGGTTCTATAACGGGGGGGAAAGGGTGCTGAAACTTCTGTCTGTTTGGTTGCTCTTGGTTCATGTTGGGGCTGCGAGCCCTAGGTTTCGGAGAAATGCTTTTTTTATTCCTTTGTGTTAAAATTTAAGACCAAATCTGTTTTGTTCTTAGCGTTTGGCCGCCACAGCTGATGGTGGCAACAAATTGGTTAGTTTGCTGTCCCGAGCCACCCCCTGCACGGCACGGGGAGAGAGCGCGGCAGCGTCTGCCGGGCAGCCAGCTGTCTGCCCTGTTCTTTCCGCATCTGGTGTGTTACATTTCTGGCTGTTTCTGTTCCCAGGCTGCTGATGCCATGTACTGAGCTAAATGTGGGCCAAGGCTATTTCTTGAAGTCATTTGTCCTGGCTGCTGGGAGGTCTCTAGGCGTTGGGGTACGGAGCAACACCAGCTGTGGAAGTTGCTCCCTCCCACAGGTTAGCAGGGTGCTGTTCAGCACCATCCCCTTTCCCTGCACGCTCCTGGGGTGCGAGCAGGAGAGCTGGTTCCCAGGTGTCGTGCGGGGCCACGTCTGCCCCCTGCCCCTGCAGAGCTGGCTGCGCAAATGGGATGGCGGCTGAAACCCCCCTCTCGGCCGGTGCTTGGAGCCTCGCGCCTGGCCCTGTCCCAGCAGCTGGGCTGCCCGGGTGGGGAAGAGAAATGCCCCCATGCCATCCTCCTGCAAAACTGGACCCGTCCGGCCAAGATGGTGATCCCATGTGCCTGCCGCTCTCCATGCGGGGGGAAATCTTGGCCCTTCCTTTACAGAGCACCGCAGGCAGGGGCGGCAGGACCACGTTCCCACCCCG